TAGCTTCTAAGTGTAGTCTTTTGGTTTTCTTACATATAGAATCATGTTATCTGCAAATAGGGATAGTTTGACTTCCTTCTCCCCAATTAGTATCCCTTTAATTTCTTTTTCTTGCCTAATGGCTCTGGCTAAAACTTCCGGGATTATATTGAATAGCAAATGTGAGAATGTGCATCCTTGTCTGGTTTTGGATGTTAATGTGCTGGCTGTGGGTTAGATTTTTATTTTTTTTTATCACTGTGGAGTATGAATTAGACATTTGATGCTTCTTAAAGAAAATGAAAATCCAAGAAAATTTCATCTAAAATATTTTTCCTAACGGTTAAGGGAAAGCAATAACTATAAAAAATTAAAAATCCCTTTTGGACCCTTTTATTCTGCCTTAATAGTGTATCTTCTGACCAAAATGCTTTTCTTTCTGTTCCATTTCATCCTTCTGATAATGTTTGAACATCATGGGGATAGGCTTACGCTAACAAGTAACTACAAATATTCTGAATCACAATGTACTGTTTCTTTCCACAACTTTAGCTAAATTTTGTGATTATCCATTTGATTTGTTGTTTATAGCTACTAGCAATATCCTAGGATGGCAGAGTGATGTCCCTTTTGCTTACTATCACAGTATGCACAATGGTAGAAACTCTTCTTGGATGAAGGTCTTTGAGTTATACAGGACAGTCAGATGCTAATCAGGATGAGAATTCAGGGGGAGGCATGCTCCTGCTGGATGGACAGATTGCACAAGGGAGAATGTGGCAGAAAAGTAGATGGACACACCCAGGCTGGGGTAAGGCTTGGGCAGGGGAATTGGAATGACAGAGGGGAGTCTGGCAGAATGAATGGGCTCTAGACCTTGCCGTGGTTAAGTTGTGGTGAGGAGTTTGAATGAACACAAGGGTAGTGCCAGATCAACCAACTAATTGTTGTGAGATCAAATATTTAGCATAAAAGTATCCAAAATGGGAATAGAAGGCAATGTATACCATATTGTAGTGCCTAGGTTCAATTCTTACCTCTGTTTCCTAGTTCCAGCTTCTTTGTAATGTATACCCTGGGAAGCAGCAGGTGATGACTCAAGTAATTAGGTCCCTGACACCCACATAAGAGACCTAGATTGAGTTCCTGGCGGCAGCCTGAGGCACAGCCTTGGCGACTGTGGGGCATTTGAAAATATCAGCTGATGGAAGCTCTCTGTCTCTCTCTTGAAAAAATATCATATCTCCAAAATGGAACCAGTCAAACATATTTCTGAAATAATCTGAAAGCTTATCTCACAATCGTAAAAACTAGTATTGTTTTAAAGTTCTAGATTTTTGATATGGGGATGCAGTGGCTATGGATTCAAATTTCCTTAGTTCTCAAATCAACCATATATGCCCAAGGTGGATACATGAGTGCCCTATAGCCTGGTTTCCTCATCACTTGCACGACAGATATGATAATAGTAGTGAATATTCCACTGGCATGTGTTAACTGGCTTGTGTTTTATTGAGGGGCTGGCAGTGTGGCTTAGTGGGTTAAGCTGCTGCTTGCAGTGCCAGCATCCCATATGGGCACCGGTTTGAGTCCTGGCTGCTCCACTTTCGATCCATCGCTCTGCTATAGCCTGGGAAAGCAGTAGATGTCCTATGTCCTTGGGCCCCTGCACCTGCGTGGGAGACCTGGAAGTCACTCCTGGCTTCAGATCAGCACAGCTTCATCCATTGTGGCCATCTGGGGAGTGAACCAAAGGAAGGAAGACCTTTCTGCCTCTGCCTCTCTGTAACTCTGCCTTTCAAATAAAATAAATCTTAAAAAAAAATTTTATTGAAATTGATAATTTTCTTTATTACCTGAAATTTTGAGTACTTTTATAAGTCTTATTTTTCTTTACATTTTTCTTACTTTTAAGTACCCTGTTTTTCTTTCAAAAGGCAGAAAAGAAACTGAAAATTACAAAATAGTAATATATTCTGAGATGATGCATTCATGACTCCTGGCACTAAGGAAAACTTTTGCCTTACCTGTGAGAGCCTGGACTAACCAATTAGTAGGCACTTTTCCATTCGCTAGTCAGAAATGTCTCCTTACAAATAAGGATATTATAATTTGTCTGTGACTATCTAAAATCAGAATATAAACCTAAGGCTCACCATCTTAGGCATCAGATTCCTGTCAGGGAAGAGACATTTAGTTATGTCATTTATCTATTCTTGATTCATTACATTTTATTTGTTTGGCTATCTACTATATTAAAAAAATTTGCCATCATAGCAGCCTGATTGCTATTAATATTTTTATAATGTAAAAAGCAGTGCAAAAACCAGAGTCAAGAGTATTAATATATTTTTGTAGACATCAAAGGCTTTGTGCTACAACCACTGGAAAATGCATTTATAGTCACCTGAAATAAAATTCAAAGAGTACACACAGATGTATAGGAAAGTGAGTAGTTTAATAAACACATATGCATCTTAAATATCCCCATCTCAAGAAAATTGTGCTTGCTTGAGGAAACTCTTTAGAACAGGAAATACTATTGAAGTTCAAGGACTGAATAATTAAACCCAAATCATTTTTATTTAGTCAGATGTGGAAAAAATACATAGTTAATTCTTAGGCAAGATCTCAATGTACCAGAATCCAATTATAGAGTCTTCTGAATACTGGTGGAATAAAAGTTAATGAGACATTTTAAATACATTACAATTTTATGATACTGATTTATTTTTGGAAAGTAGCAAGGATAAATTTAAATTTAATATGCTGTATTAAGTTCTCTGTATTCATTTTGGAATTCCAACAGTAAAAAATCATTACATACTGAATAGTGAACAGACTGACAGACGGATGGATAGATAGTATGTGTGTTTGTTATTTCTAGTTAAGATCACCTTTTATTCTTTTATATATCAGTCTTGCCTTAGTAATAAAACAAAGTTGGTAATTTATATTATCATTGTCCTCCAAATTACAGTAAATGGAAGAACAAAATTACTCATGTACCAAGGCTAACGAATATAATCACATCACGAGTCTGTTATTATAAGTGTTACAATAGTGAATTGATTTTACATCTCAAATTTGTTTAAAATGTTTTTTCAAAATAAAAATTTAATATTAACTTTCTGAAGTCTTTTAATTATGTGCTCATGAATCATAGTTTTAAAAACATTGTATAGTCTTTTATTCCAATAAATCAGGCTTATTATTATATACGTAGTTGATACAGTAGAACCATTCAGTTAGTTGTATAAGTAGATAGGTCCTAAGGAGGAAGTTATGCTCTGTAATTACAAAAAAGAAAATAAAGTGAGAGGAATTTATGGCATGTGCATAAAATATTATCTAAGCTTTTTTTTAGATTAGAAAACCGTTTCTGGAAATAAAAATGAGTAAATCACAGGAATTTACTAATTTGTAAATTAACCCGTGTCTTTTAAGGAGTTACTTTAAAAGTTATGCTTGTTATGTTCTCAATATAGTTGTAGTGTTCTATTGAATAAAATAACAGGCATGCAAATTGATAATGATATGCATTCATATATTTGTGCTTTGGTATTTATAATGAAAGCTGATTTTAATTTCTCTACAAGGCTTTGAAAAAGCTAAGACTGCTCAGTGTTATCTCTATGGTGAAGGTGCCGCGTTTCTAGATGGCCCATTTCACCTTTAGCAGTACTCCTTAGATCACCCCAACATACCCTAAGATACCCTAAGAATCTGAGAATGACTTTAAATACATAAAGAGATTCAGTAAATATACCTTTTATAGTGTAAACTATGGATTTTTAAACTTGTGTATGCTTTATCTACTAAAGTTTTTGAGGACAAGGATCATGCCTCATTTATAACAACTTATTTTTGCAGTTCATAAGATTTTAACCATGTAGGAAATTAATTTGAGAATCAGATGTGGCTTTGACTATAAGTAACGGAAAACCTAACCATTGTGGCTCTAATAAATATGGATAACCCCTTTCACATGCTTCCACATGGCATAGACACCACGCGAGAGCTAGCTTGTTATGACTGCTTTCATCTTGATGTTCCAACTTAAGATTTATTTATAAGATAAATAAATTAGAATCAGCGTTAGAGAGAGCGAGTCTCCAATCACTGGTTCACTTCCCAAATGGCCACAATGGCCTGAGCTGGGCAGAGCTAAGGCCAGGAGCCAGGAGCTTCTTCAGGGTCTCCCACATGGGTGCAGGAGCCCAAGCACTTGGGCCATCTTTTGCTGCTTTTCCAGCGTGCATTAGCAAGGAGCTGGATCCGAAGCCAGGACTTGAGCCGGCACCCCTAGGGGAGGCTGGCACTGCAGGCAGGGGCTTACATGATACACTGCAGTGCTGGCCCCTTTTCTACCATTTTAAATATTATTAAATAGTTATGACAATCACCTTCTCCCAGAGCCATGTCCTTGTTTAGGCAGGAAAAAGAAATTGAGGAAAGAGGGTTTTTCATTCTAATGTTCTCCCAAGTAAACCTTGCCTTTCTTTAGCCTGATCCAGATCATGCATTTGTTTTGAGATTATCATATAGTTGTTGACATGGAGTCCATCAAGCAAAGTGTAGATTATTCATGATTTAGCCTCTGGGAATGGGATTCTCCTAGATGCCCTTAGAGTTTGCATTCTACCTGAACAAATCTGAGATTAGTTGCAGAGGAAAATGGGACTGTTGTACAGTTAACTGGTAATAAATGCTATAATTTTTGTTTTGTAAGAAGAAATGTTACAAAAGATATAACTTGAATAGAATTTGATATTTTCTCAATTGCATCTTTATATAGTTATTTGTTCAGCAAAATTTAATATGAGAGATTTATTTTTTTTTGTTAATTTGCTATTAGAGGAATAGATTCTTCTAAATCTTTAGTTACAACAGAAAAAAAATATGCACAATTGAAAGATGCATTGTTTACATCAGATTTTTTTTTATTTTAATGTATTTCAATGCTCTTACAATTGTAAGGAAAATTCAAACGTGTAATTTTGTCCTCTGTTTTATCCTAGGCCTTAAACATAAACATGAATTTAGAGTCTATTCATCGACTAATTGAGGAAACACAAATCTTTCGGATGCAGCAGTCATCGATTCAATCCCGCTGTGACCCGTCAGCCCCTGCCTCGCCCCCCAGGGACACGTGGACGCCCTGCCCGCCTCTCCAGGGGCTGCAGCCTCAGGCCCCCCACCGTTTCTGCGCGCATCCACTGCACCCCAACGAGTGGGACGTGTGCGCGGAACTGCGCCTGCGGGAGCTGGAGGAAGTCAAGGCCAGGGCTGCCCAGATGGAGAAGACCATGCGCTGGTGGTCAGACTGCACGGCCACCTGGAGAGAGAAATGGAGCAAGGTTCGCGCGGAGCGGAACAGCGCCAGGGAGGAAGGACGGCAGCTCAGAATGAGACTGGAGCTGACGGTGAAGGAGCTGAGCGAGCTGCGGAAGAGACAGGGCGCGGCCCCTCAGAAGCAGCCCCCGGCCGCCCCCGCTCCCCTCGCTCCTCTGGCGTCCCGGGAACACGGAGATGAACCTGAAGTCGCTTCCCAAACGTGTGAGCGTGTGGGGGAGCGCCTGCTGAGAGGACAGCGCCGGACCCGGGAGACCGTGGGCAGTCGGGTGAGAAGGTCCTCCTGGGCCCAGCGCCGGTGGCGCGGTGGGTTAATCCTCCCCTGAAGCGCCGGCTTCCCGTGTGAACGCCGGTTCGAGTCCCGGCGGCTCCTCTTCTAGTCCCGGCGGCCCCTCTTCCAATCCAGCTCTCTGCAATGGCCTGGGATAGCAGTAGATGATGGCCCAAGTCCTTGATCCAGCTCTCTGCAATGGCCTGGGAAGGCAGTGGAGGATGGCCCAAGTCCTTGGGCCCCTGCACCCGCGTGGGAGACCCGGAAGAAGCTCCTGGCTCCTGGCTTCCTATCGGCACAGGTCCCAACATTGTGGCCATTTGGGGTGAACCAGCGGACGGAAGACCTCTCTCTCCCTCTCACTGCCTGTAACTCTGCCTCTCAAATAAATACAATCTTTAAAAAAAAAGTTGCTCTGAGGAACCAGGGGATACCTGCATTTTTGAAGGCCTTCCATAGTGATGAGAAAGGGGAGGTGACGAGGCGTTGGTTACCGTGTTCGCTTGCTAGGGCAGTTGTGAGGAATGATTTTTTTTCTTCGTAACTATTTGTTGACCTCTTAGTGTAGGGTTAATCTTATGAGCATAAAGTTAACTGAAAATAGATCTTAGTAAAAAGAGTGAGAATAGAAGAGGGAGAAGGAAGAAAAGTGGAAGTGTGGGAGAGAGGAAGAGTGGTGGAAGGAAGGGTAGGGTGGAATAATCCCTAAATTCCTAAATTTGAGACGTGAAATATGTGAAGTTTGTACACTTTAAGTAAAAGGTTTCTAGGTTAAAAAAAAAAAGTACCAGCTCCTGGGTGGTCTTAGCATCAGAAATGTGGGTATTCAGGTTTTTTTTTTTTTTTTTTTTAAAGATTGATTTATTTACATGAAAGTTAGAGTTTCCAAGAGGCAGAGGTAGAGAAATTCTTCTATCTGGTTCAGTCTCCAGTGGCCAGAGAAGACCAGAACTGGGCCATTCCAGAGCCAAGAGTTTTTTTCTGGGCCTCCCACATGGGTGCAGGGGCCCAAGGATTTGGGCCTTCTTCTGCTTTCCGAGGTGCATTAGCAGGGAGCTGTATCAGAAGTGGAGCAGCTGGGACTTGAATCAGTACCCCTGTAGGATGCTGATGTTGCAGGTGGCAGCTTAACCTGCTATGCCACAGTGATGCCCTGTATTCACAGTTTTAGAGGATCAAATCTGAACACCAGGCGTCAGGGTTGGATTCTTCTGAGTCTCTTCTTGGCTGATAGTCATTTAATCCCTGTGATCTCACATCTCTTTCCTGTGTCTGTGTGTACAGATTTCCTTTGCCTGTACATATCCCATCATTAGGGCCACCCAATGACTCTTTTGTATCAACCCTTTAAAGGACTTTTCTCAAATAGTTACATTCATAGATAATAAAGGTTAGGATATCAATATACGGATTTTGAGAGAACACAATTCAGCACATATCCGTGACTTGACTAATACTTCTAACAGAATTTAATCCAGCATATTGTCATGTGAAAAGGAAATACTTGAAGAGGTCTCTGTCCACTTATGTCAATAGTAACAAATGACTCATAGGATAGTTTGAATATTTCCCAGGGTTTGGAACTCTGGTCTCACGATTAACTCCTTGTAAAATGGGAACCAGGAAATGCTTTGCATAGTCACTCTTAGACTTATTTAGTATACTTTGAGCTTGACTTTTCTGAGAATTTTGCACAAAATAAACTTAGAAAGTTTCATTTAATCTAGCCATTTATACATTCTTTATCCAGGAATCTCCCCTCCTCATGTTTAACCTGGTAAGGAACCCCATGGAACTTTGGAGAACTTATGGAACTCATTTTACATTGTTATTTCTTCCTACTAAATTCCATCTCTAAAAACATATTATGTATTAGATGGCATCTCTACAATTCTATCTAAAATCTTAAGCCTTTCCATGAAGTGTGGAACTTCAGGTAGGTATAATCTAGATTCCATTATCAATGAAAATTTTTAAAAGGCTGTAATAATGCAATTCCTTTTGTGTATTTAGTCTACTGACATTTTTTTCCTATAGATTTTTTTTAGTATGACAATCTAAGTCATTAGTACCTTTGAATATGTCTCTGGAGAGACAGTACGTATTTTTTTTTTTTTTCCTGTCAGGCAGAGTGGACAGTGAGAGAGAGAGAGACAGAGAGAAAGGTCTTCCTTTTGCCGTTGGTTCACCCCCCAAATGGCCACTGCGGCCGGCCGGCGCACTGCGCTGATCTGAAGCCAGGAGCCAGGTGCTTCTCCTGGTCTCCCATGCAGGTACAGGGCCCAAGAACCTGGGCCATCCTCCACTGCACTCCTGGGCCACAGCAGAGAGCTGGCCTGGAAGAGGAGCAACCGGGACAGAATCTGGCGCCCCGACCAGGACTAGAATGTGGAGTGCCGGAGCCGCAGGCGGAGGATTAGCCTATTGAGCCGCAGCACCAGCCGACAGTATGTATTCTTAAAATTTAGTTGTGTCATGGCATATCTGAGTATTTGTATTAGAGACATAGCTAGTACAATGTTCCTTGAATCCATAAACTAATTCTTGGTTATTACAATGAATTATATGAATGAACCAGGCTTTGCATTTGAAAATGAAGGTTTCTCTTCAAATGTATTATGTTGAGACATTCACAGTATTTTGAGGTTTCATTACAGTATCTCTGTGTCACCACTGTTAAGAACTAATCAGGGGCTGGCACTGTGACGCAGCGGGTTAACGCCCTGGCCTGAAGCGTTGGCATCCCATATGGGCACAGGTTTGAGTCCTGGGTGCTCCACTTCCGATCCAGCTCTCTGCTATGGCGTGGGAAAGCAGTATATGATGGCCCAAATCCTTGGGCCCATGCACCCACATGGGAGACCCAACAGAAACTCTTGGCTTCGGATTGGCGTGGCTCCAGCCATTGCGGCTACTTGGGGAGTGAACCAGCAGATGGAAGACCCCTCTCTGTCTTCTCTCTCTCTCTCTCTCTTGCCTCTCCTCTCTCTGTGTAACTCTGACTTTCAAATAAATAAATAAATCTTAAAAAAAGAACTAATCATACATAGTAGGTACTTATTAAAAGTTTCTTTATTTTGGAAAACAGGTAAAATTACTCTTGATTGTAGGTAAATTCATATTTGTGATAGAAGAAGCCTCAATCAGCTGTTTTCATTTTGATCAGTTTTATGCTAACACTAGGCCAGTGAGAAAGATTCCAGGGTATATGTCATTTGTCCTACTACTGTATTCAGGGACACACATCTGATTTTATTACTTTTCAACATGATATATGTAGCTACAATATTCTTAAAAGAATTAAGAAATAAATAAAGCTAGGTAACCTGGCATAGAAATGGTAGTTTTAATTTTTTTTATATGAGAGTCAGAAAGCAAACAGAGAGCACTCCCATCCACTGGCCTACATAAGGACTGGGGCACATAGTACTTTCAAAAATATTTTATATGATGATTTATTTATTTATTTGAAAGGCATAGGCAGAGAGAGAGAAGTCTTCCATCTGTTGGTTCACTATCCAAATGGTTGTAATGGCCGGAGCTGGGCCGATCTGAAGCCAGGAGCCAGGAGCTTCTAGGTTCAGGGGTCCGAGGACTTGGGCCAACTTCTGCTGCTTTCCCATAGCAGAGAGCTGGTTTGGAAATGGAGCAGCTGGGACTTTTAAGTGGCGCCTGTATGGGATGCCAGCACTGCAGACGCAGCTTCACCTGCTACTCCACAGTGCCGTCCCGGACACATAGTACTTTAAGAATAAAATATTAAAAATTAAATATCATTGATTTTATTTGAGCTTGGATTTATTTAATTTAAAACCCATAACTCATGGCAAATTTAATTTTAGGCACATATGTACAGAATCAGTTCAGTGAAATATTGTAATGATACGATTTTTGGCACTGTGTGCTATTCTGATAATTGGCACTCATTTATTAATATGTCCCAATCAATTCTACTTGAGATTTGACTAGTGAACAAAATGTCAATAAACATACCTATTAAAATATTCAAGAGCTTTCTGAAAATTCTTTCTACTCTTTCATCCCAAAAATGTTAAAAACAACCAGTTGGCTTTTCTTTGTAACTCTCAAGTGTTTTGTGAAAAGGAAACCTTGAAGAGATTTGTCAACTCAAAAACTTTTTAAAGCAGTTAAAGTTTATGCTGAGTTATTTTAAGCTATAATTATGAAATATTAAATTAAAACAAACTAAAAGAGTAGAAGTTTTGAGAAATGTATTTTACTATAGTAAGGTTGAACATAGAAATTTAAGTTTGTAAAAGAAGGCAAGTCCTTAAATAAAATTATAAAAAAAGTAATAAAAAACAGTGGGGGAAAATAAAGAAAAAGAAGGCAAGTCAGTTTGACTGTATCAAAATAATCTTACAGAATGATAGTGAAATGAATGGATTTGACACTATATCATAACATTTATTTCCATTTGATACTGCATTTATTATTTATTATTTTTCTCTGAAAGAGTTAAACATTCAACAATAACAACTGTTTTATGCTTTTTTTCCCCCCAGGAAGATGTCATTATTGATCCACTAAGATTAAATGAGGAGATGAAATCCAATCTAGATAGTCCTGATTTATTTAAGAAATGTGGTTCTGGAAATTGTGCAATGAAACCTGAGCTAAGACTACCAGCTATAAATCTGCCTTTGGAGAATGACGTAACTGACGTGTCAACTTTGCAGGTGCATTTGGATGACTTCCAGAAAATCCTTTGGAAAGAAAGAGAGTAAGTTCTAAGCATTGTCTTCCTTAACCAAGTCTGATTTCAAACTTCTTAAAATTGGTAAGTCTGATCAACTGGTTGCTGGGTAATGTATTTTCTCATGTTTATCTATTACTTTCTAAGATTCAAAAAATGAATTTTGTGTATCATTTTGAATTTTGAAAAGTAATTTAGAGATTTTCTTTTATTCTTTCAAATTGACTTATTATAAGCACATTATCATCTTTGAGATTCACTTTTAACTATTTGAATTCTTAATATATGATTAAAATATCTAGTGTATATCTAGTTTTTACAGCAGCTTTGGACTTCAGTGATTCAATAAAATAATGAATGTTACCATAAGTAACAGACAAATCACAATTTTGCAAGGCACTCATTGCTGAACAAGATTTTTTACACATTGAGCGTCATGGTATATAGGGAAAGAGCACTAGGCTTGTGATTAAGTGACCTGGTTATTCATTTGCTTTGGCTATATTTTTGCTATATCATAACTGGACTGCTGTCCCTTTTGTAAGAATAGGGGCAGTGGGGCAATGTTGTGGTATAGTGGATGAAGATACTGCCTGCAATGCTGGCAGCTTATATAGGGCATCAGTTCAAGTCCTGGCTATTTCACTTCTGATCCAGCTTCCTGATAATGCTCCTGGGAAAGCAGCAGAGGATGGCCCAAGTGCTTGGGCCCCTGCACCCACATGGGAGACCTGGGTGAAGCTCCTGGCTCCTGGCTTCCGCCTGGCCCAGCCTTCGCAGTTGCAACCATTTGGGGAGTGAACCAGTGGGTGGAAGACCTCTCTCTCTGTCTCTCCCTCTCTTTCTGTAACTCTGCCTTTCCAATCAATAGAAAATAATTTTAAAAGGTTTAAATGACAGCAGGGACAGTTGATGTCATTATTGCTTTTAATATTTTTCACAGCATCTGCTTTGAGTTTGACAGGCAGAGTGGATAGTGAGAGAGAGAGAGACAGAGAGAAAGGTCTTCCTTTTTTGCCATTGGTTCACCCTCCAATGGCTGTCACGGCTGGCGCGCTGTGGCCGGCGCACCGTGCTGATCCTAAGGCAGGAGCCAGGTGCTTCTCCTGGTCTCCCATGTGGGTGCAGGGCCCAAGCACTTGGGCCATCCTCCACTGCCTTCCCGGGCCACAGCAAAGAGCTGGACAGGAAGAGGAGCGACTGGGACAGAATCTGGCGCCCCGACCGGGACTAGAACCCGGTGTGCCGGTGCCGCTAGGTAGAGGATTAGCCTATTGAGCCGCGAGTGATGTTGTCTTTTGGTTATCCATTGTTTTGTAATACGTTCCTGAACAATTGTTCTTAAACCAAGATATATTCTGTAGATTAGTCATGGCTTTGCATGGTGCCTATCTCTCCCATGAAGGTTGAGCTTGGATGATTCACAGGCAGTGGTGACTGGAAGGTTGGGAGCTGCAATACCTGATGTTTTACCCAATCACATGCCTGATAGATTCTGATTCTCTCCTGGGCTCTCAGTTGGAATGCCTGAATGGTCTTATCCCCATGAATGCTTGGCTTCTCCACATGAATTGCCTAAGGTTCATGTGAATGACTTAAAACTATACAGAAATTTATAGCATTTTAATGACCTCTCCTCAAAAATCCCATAGCAGCCTTGGTGTTTGGCACTGTGGTTAGGATGTCACTTGGGGTGCCTGTATCTCCTACCAGAATACCTAGGCTCAAGTTCCATGCCGACTTCCTGTAATGTACACCGTGAGAGGCAGAAAGTGATGGCCAACCACAAAGGGGAATCATTGAATTCCAGGCTCCTGGCTTCAAGCCTTGCCCTGTCCTGGCTGTGGTGAGCCTTTGGAGGGGGAGTGAACCAGCAGATGAAAATTTTCTGTCTCTGTCTCTCTGCCTTTCAAATGAAATGAACATAAAAGTTCAAAAATCTTTTTAAAGATTGGTGATATTGCTTCTAATACACTTATTGGTGGAGGCAATCTCAAAGGTTGACTCAGGTCAAAGAAGACGTCAAAATCACTTTATAATCAGAGCATATAGGATGTGGTCATTATGGGAGCCACCTTTGCAAAATGTCTCTCCTGGCCTCCTTCACAGAATTCTTCTAAGGATCACACACAGATCATTTCTGGGAAAGAAGCTAATACAAAATAGTCAGTGTTTCTTTTTGTGTCTTTGCAATCAGCTTAAAAATTATCAGCATGGTGTAGAATATTTGATTCACTTTAAAATGTGGTCCCCAAATCTAAACATAATGGTTTTTTATGTCTTCAACTACAAGACTCTCTCTCTCTCTGTACACACACACAGTGTACTGTGTACACAAAGTCTTCAAAATGTTTGTGGAAAATATTTATAAAAATTATGCATGGATTTACAATTTTTTTCTGCAATGCAATACAAACTTTTAATTTTATATGAATTATTTGAAGTCGTTTAAATTTAAGCACATGTTATAATGATTTCAATCTTCTAGTTTAAATGGACTGAAATAGTGCTGAGCACATGTACAAGTCATTCACAAATATTGTGCACCGTCTTCTGTCTGCCAGGGGTTTCCATTAGGCCCTCTGAAATGTGGAAGTGCCAGTAATTGCCTTTTTCAGGTCTTTAATATTTTACCTATTAATAGAGTGTGACAATACAAGCATCTATGTACAAAATCCTTATTCTGTCATCAGAATAATACCCTGGGTATCTCTGGGGGCTGGCTCGAGGACTCCCCACTGATACCAAGACCTGCAAGTGCTCAAGTCTCTTACTGTATATAAAATAACATAGGATTTGCATATATCCTACATGCACCCCCCCATACTTAAAGCCAACTCTAGATTACTTCAATGCAGATGCTGTGAAAATAGCTGTTGTATTGCATTTTTAAGGAAATGATTAGTATAGATAATTTTCTTTTCCTGAGTGTTTTTGATTGCTGCTTGGTTGAGTCTGTGGTGTGGATCCCATGAATATGGAGGATAGACTTTTTTTTTCAAGATTTATTTAATTTATTTGAAAGGGGGTGGGAGGTCTTCCATGGCCACAATAGGAGCCAGGAACTTCTCGGCCTTCCATGTGGATGCAGGGACCCAAGCACTTGGGTCGTCCTCTGCTGCTTTCCCAGGTGCATTAGCAGAGAGCTGGATTGGAAGTGGGGCAGCTGGGATTGAACCAACACCCGTATGGGATGCTAGCGCTGCAGGCCTGGGCTTTAACCCACTACACCACAGTGCCGGCTCCTGAGGACAGACGTTTTAAACTCCTAATAGAAGCAATCATGTTAGTAGAAAATAGAACACATTGAAATTTGAGGCTTATGCATATGTTAGCGTTAATGCTATCTGGACCTATGGGTCTCAGTTGAGTTCTTTTTCTTTTCTTTTCTTTTCTTTTCTTTTCTTTTCTTTTTTTTTTTTTTTTTTATTTGACAGGTAGAGTTACAGATAGTGAGAGAGACAGACAGAGAGAAAGGGCTTCCTTCTGTTGGTTCACTCCCCAAATGGCCGCCATGGCCGGTGCTGCACCGATTCGAAGCCAGGAGCCAGGTACTTCCTCTTGGTCTCCCATGCGGGTGCAGGGGCCCAAGCACCTGGCCCATCCTCCACTGCCCTCCCTGGCCACAGCAGAGAGCTGGACTGGAAGAGAAGCAACTGGGACTAGAACCTGGTGCCCATTTGGGATACCGGTGCTACAGGCGGAGGATTAACCAAGTGAGCCACGACACCAGCCTCAGTTGTTATAATCCCCGTGTTTGTCTTTAGTGAGGAATTTAACCTTTTGGTGTTACAACCATCTCCTGAAGCCATTCACAAAGTCACTGTGCTGAGGTAGTGTAATACGAATAACGTGAAGCAGCCTTGTCCTAGGTGCAAATTTTCTATTCCGAGGTATCTTTTTAAAATATGGGCACACTGTCTTCACATGCTCATTAATACACATAAACACACACAGAAACATAAATGTTTTATATGCTCATTAGAATAAATGAATACTCCTAAGAGTAAGTAAATCATCCAGTTCTCAGCAACTTCAACATATAAAACACAGACCAAGGGATAAGGGGAAAGGGGCCCTCTGATTTGGCCTTGTCTTCCCTCTCCTGTTTAAGGAACCACTGTGTGGACATTGTGAGTCATGGTGCATGTGCCTATAAATCAGCATTGGCATGCAATCCACATGAGACAATTGCAATCTATTTTTCTATCAGAAGACAGTTTCCCAAGGATGTGTAGTGTACATTCTAACTATAAATCTGTCTAGTCTTCTAAGTCCTTCCCCCTGGAATCTCAGTGAGTGGGATGCAAATATAATTTTCCCATGTTCCCATCTAGTGGGAAAATTCTCTTGATAATACACAGGGATTAGTTGAAGAAACTCAGGGGGTCATTTCCACTTCTGCCCCCTACTAGAACCTCCTTGTCAAATAGAGTAAACATTTGCACTTGGAGCACTTTTCAGTCTCATGAATAATTACCTCATATAAACAGACTTCTCATATAATAAGATTTGCATATTATGACAAATAAAAATTGCCAGGTAGAAAATTTGGGATGTCTGCAGGAAATCTGATCCTCTTACGGAGCTAGATGCACCTAAACATTTAGGAAGAGGAGCTTTGGCAATGTCAGATCTTAAGTGAACAAGACCATGTGATGGAATGTTCTGATGGGCTGTTTTGGCATTTAGAACACATAATTGATAACAGGAGAGGGTGCAGGTGACCGGAAGGCCACAGGCAGTGGGGATTCTTCATAGCACCAGTTCTCTGGCATGAGTGTGGCTTTGTCCCATGGTCCTCTGGGCGTAACAGTCCTCTTTAAATGCATATCTTATTAAATTAACTACATATGACGCCTGCTGCTGAAAGTTGTCATGGTTGGGAGTACAATCATTAGCTGACACACACTCATGTGTTTCTTATTAAAAGTATATATTACCAACAGTTTAATGCTAACTTTAAATTTTAGACTGCTATAAAAATGAATATATACATGCTATTATAAGATAATTATTTTGATTCAGGAGAAACATTTTGACATCAATAGATGCTTTCAGAAAATACTGATTAAATATTTTTGATGATATTTTCTACAGTTCCAAAATGATTCACATTTATCCCTAGATATTAATGTTTTAGTACCTTTTATTTCTGAGAATGAATTTTTCAAATATTTCAAGGCATCTTCCTGTCTATATTCCCAACTTTACTTCAGTTATTATGGGATGATTATAATTAATAAAGTATCAAAAATTTTATAGCAAAAATCATATATTTCCATAAAATTAAAAAGCTTGTATCCTCATATTTTTGCTGAGCTTCATCTTATTGAATTATTTAAAAATTTGTGCAGAAGATACAGAATATCCTTTAATGCAAGTGGTAGACTTTTTATCCTGTTGTGGTTTGAACAACATGACAGTAGTATGCATTTCTTTTTTTTTTTAAGATTTATTTTTTGTTTATTTGAAAGAGTTAGAGATAGATCTTTCATCCACTGGTTGATTCCCCAAATGGCCACAACAGCTGGGACTGGGCCAGGCCGAAGCCAGGAGCCTGGGGCTTCTTCCAGGTCTCCCACATGGATGTGGATGCAGGAGACCAAATACTTGGGCCATCTTCTGCTGCTTTACCAGGGAGCTGGATTGCAAGTGGAGCAGCTGGGCCTCAGACAGGCACCCATAAGGGATAATGGTGTCGCAAGTGGATGCTTAAGCCCCTGTGCCACAATGCTGGCCTGGCTAGTATACATTTCAACTATAAATTGAACGATAGAACTAACTGACTTGAGGGCAGGCAATGTGATATGGTGGGTGAAGTTGCTGCCTGTGATACCAGCATCCTATATGGGTGCTGGTTCATGTCCCAGCTGTTCTACTTCTGACCCAGCTCCCTGCTAATGGCCTAGGAAAAGCAGCAGAGGATGACCCAAGTGCCTGGGCCCTTTCTACCTATGTAGAAGACTCAGATGGAGCTCCTGACTTCAGCCTGGCCCATCCCCAGCCATTGCAGGCATCTGGGGAGTGACCCAGGGGACAGAAGACCTCTTCCTCTCTGTCTCTTTCTTTTTATCTGTAACTCTGATTTTCAAATAAATTTTTAAAAAATTATTTTGAAAACATCTCTGAAAAATAGAATAGATTGACTAGGCCAAGAAATTAAGGATTTATATGAGAGTACTTAAAAAACTTTGTGGAAAATGTAGTTTAAATGAGTTTCTTTTGTTGAAAATAATTTTAAAAATCCATACATGGATTTTGTAATATGCATTTCCCACAAACTAAGAAAAAACATTTTGCACCAAAATGAACACATACTTTTACTTCTGTTTTTCCTGAACATTTTGACTTTCCATTGTGGAGTGCCCTCTGCTGCATAAATTTAGATGTGCAATGACCTTGATGCTTGCTTGAAAAAGTCATAAAATTTCTTTGATGGGAACATACTAAAAATACTCAAGTGTCAAGGTGTCTGTCATTCAATAAATTTTTATGAAATGCTTGTCTTCTCCCTCACTGTCTTTACTCAATTGTAACTCTTTACACATAATAAAAATAGAAAATTTTCTTTCCTAAAAATCTTGTATGTCAATTATTTAATTTAAAACATATAATTAAAGAGATAAAAATCACTATTTCCAAAGCATTATTAATTTACCTTAAATAGGAATAAAAACCATTATTCATTTAATTTGCTTTGGCAGAATTATGTTTTTATTTTGTGGACTGGTTGTGACCATTCTAGATCTAGATATAGCATAGAAAAATATTTTAGGTTATATCAATATATATACACATCTGAAATTAAAAGTTTAATGTAACATTTGAGATGTTCTTAAATTATGTACAAAACTCTGAAATAATATTTACTCCAGGAATTTTGACAGTGTTTTTGAGGATCAACATTTATTCTGTGGTACTTATAAATCATTTTTATAGTAATGTGAACTGGAAAGTTTGACTTTTAGTTTTGAGATTACTTTTCACTTATATTTGATTTCATAAAATATATGGGCTTTTGAATATATGGGCTTTGAAATAGATTTTTTCAAATTATTAACTATAGTCTGTCACTATTTCTGTCAAAACTAATTTTCAGAATTTAATGAAGGAAATTTATCAATGTATATACCAGTAAGCAAATGTAGTTAATTAAAAGAAAATATTATTTCTATTAATTTAACATTCCATTTGGTGCTTAAAATTTTCAACTGCTGAAAAAATATTCTGATTCTACTCATGTAAATTTAATTAAAATTTCAAATATGGTGATTCATATATTTACATATATAGACTTTTTTCTTTTTTTTTAGGCAGAGTGGACAGTGAGAGAGAGAGAGACAGAGAGAAAGGTCTTCCTTTTGCCTTTGGTTCACCCTCCAATGGCCGCCGCCGCCGGCACGCTGCAGCCAGCGCACTGCGCCTATCTGAAGGCAGGAGCCAGGAGCCAAGTGCTTCTCCTGGTCTCCCATGGGGTGCAGGGCCCAAGCACTTGGGCCATCCTCCACTACACTCCAGGGCCACAGCAGAGAGCTGGCCTGGAAGAGGGGCAACCGGGACAGAATCAGGTGCACCAACCAGGACTAGAACCTGGTGTGCTGGCGCCGCAAGGCAGAGGATTAGCCTATTGAGCCGCGGCGCCTGCCCCAAATATGGTGATTCTTAAACATTTCAGGGAAATTGCTAGTTTAACAATTTCATTACACTTTTAACTCACAATTCTAAGTCAATGTCCAATAAATATTTTAATTTATGTTATCATCCAAAACTTAAAACCTGGTCAAATATCAGAAATGCAACGTGTTTCAGTGTGTAGTAGTTTCTGTGTATACTTTTTTTTTTAAGAGTTTATTTGTTTACTTGAAAGTCAGAATTACAGAGAGGCAGAGGCAGAGAGACAGAGAGATTTTCCATCCACTGGTTCACTCCCCAGATGCCTGCAATGGCCGTAGGTGTGCCAATCTGAAGCCAGGAGCTTCTTCCGGGTCTCCCCTGCGGGTGCAGGGGCCCAAGGACTTGGGCCATCTTCTACTGCTTTCCCAGGCAATAGCAGAGAGCTGGATCGGAAGTGGAGCAGCCAGGTCTAGAACTGGCACCCACATGGGATGCTGGCACCACAGGCGGTGGCCCCACCCTCAGCACCAGCCCCTATGTATACTTTCTAATTAAACTCAAAATTTTAATATTTGGTGTTCTTGTAATTTCCATATGTAATACTTAACATCTTAGACACTAAGGACAAAAATTACGCCCTGGCATGCCCCTTGGGTGTCATCAGCTGGCCAGGTTTACTTATCCCGTAGAAATTTTGGCTGAGAATGTAAATATGGAGCTATAATCATAGACAGGGTTCATGAGACCTAGATTTTTAAATTACATCTTCTTACTTGTTAATTTAATATGATATATTTGCTCTGTTAACAAGGGATTCCAAACCAAAGTCCTATGAATGGTGCTGAATTTTTCTTGGCAACCTGAGTCTTCTGAGGTTAAACTAAGCTCTCACTAATTATTTCATATCCTGTTCCAATTTTATGGTTTAATTCATGAAAAATATAATTATATAACTTTTTAATAGGGTCCTTATCCATTTAGTTGGATGAAACTAATATATTTAGAGTCTAACATTATCTTGAATTATTTTCATAGTATTGCTACTGGGAAAAATCACATTTCTTATAAATATGTAAATGAAATTCAATTTGGAATCTGCATTTATTTTCTAGTTCTGTGAATATGTTTGTACATTCTTTCTAGTGACATTTAACATCCCTGAAATAGACTGGTGTATGTAATAGTTAACTATAAATACAGTGAGGTTCTAACAACATCCACAAACCCTCAGTGTCATATAACAACCAGAATTAGCTAGAGCCCAAACACACAAGTTCTTTTCAAAGTTGTGATCTGTCACTCATGTTGTGTAGTCAAAGCCTAGAACTGAAGGTGAGGAAGTCAGCTTTGTCCAGGGAAGTTGAGGAAAAAAATATTTTTGAATAGTCATTTAATTAATCTACCATATAGATAATGACGGGCCATTTGCAATGGCTGAAACATGCTAATTACACCTGCAAATTAAGCAATGAATTTTAGTGACTCTAATGGATGTTATGTGCCAAGAAAAAAATGCATTGGTTAGGATATTAAAGGCTCATATTTTAATCCCAGTTCTGTTGCTAGTTCAAAAAGTGGGAAATTAATTTCAGTTACTTTATTTTTTTATAGTTTCTATTGGTTTTTTTTATTATTTTTTAACTTTTATTTAATGGATATAAGTTTCCAAAGTACAGCTTATGGATTACAATGGCTTCTCCCCCCCCATAACTTCCCTCCCACCCGCAACCCTCCCCTTTCCCGCTCCTTCTCTCCTTCCATTCACATCAAGATTTAATTTAAAAAGGCCATAGTGAGATTGTTTATTAATACATAATTGAAACTCTTTAAAAATTGTTTATATATCCCCATAAATGATTGAATTTTAAAATTGTTAGTGTGTTCTTTGCTATATCTTCTCAAAGGATTCTTCAACTATATCCAGTCAAAATATAAAGATGGGTAAAACCCTGTGAAAATTAGAAACATATATTCCCCAAGGTCAAAGAAATAATATGAATGAGAAAAATGCAGAGAAATGCACAAAATATAAGAGAAAAGGCTGAGAGTCAATACTGGCAAAGTCGAATTAAATATGCTTAGTCTATTGAAAAGTTAAATGACAGAATAACAAATTAAACCAAGCTTTATTAAATATTTATATTTTAACAACAGATGTTTGTATCATACTTATGTACAAATATAAAAATCGACAAGTAGGACATTGTACACATTTCCAAAATTATCTTAAAATTGAAAGTGTGTTTTCTTTATTTCTTAAATTATTTAGAATGCGTGAAGCTTTGGAAAAACAAGTTGAACGATTAGAGTCAGCATTGTCATTATGGAAACTGAAGTATGAAGAACTGAAAGAATTGAAGCCAAAAAATGTGAAAGAGGTATGGAGGTATATAATGTAAAAGAAGAAATGAAGCTCAGGGCATTCTCTGAATATTTAACTATTAGCAGGAGGCTCAGCAGACAGAGGAAAGGTGATTAAAACTTGAATTTCCTTCAAAGAAGAATATTTGAATTAATATTTTAGTAGTGAACTCAGTCAAATTTGGGTTACAGGAATTTTTTTTTTTTTTTTAGGCAGAGTGGACAGTGAGAGAGAGAGAGAGAGAGAAAGGTCTTCCTTTTGCCGTTGGTTCACCCTCCAATGGCCGCCGCTGCCGGTGCGCTTCGGCAGGCGCACCGTGCTGATCTGATGGCAGGAGCCAGGTACTTCTCCTGGTCTCCCATGGGGTGCAGGGCCCAAGGACTTGGGCCATCCTCCACTGCACTCCCTGGCCACAGCAGAGAGCTGGCCTGGAAGAGGGGCAACCGGGACAGAATCCTGCGCCCGGACTGGGACTAGAACCCGGTGTGCCGGCGCCGCAAGGCGGAGGATTAGCCTAGTGAGCCGCGGCGCTGGCCTACAGGAAATCTTGTTCTAAATTACACACACACACACACACACACACACAATTTTATACTAGCCTTTATCTGTTGTAAAATTCTTACTATATGGATTCAAATGAACAGCATGATTTTTTTGTCATGTATCAACAGTGAAATGGTCAGTGATCCACCACATGACACAATTATTCATTCTAGTGCATATGAGGGGTGAGCCTTGTGCTATCAAAATTATTTTATCTTCTTTTATGAAAACATATAAAAATATCAGTTCGTCTTAAGTATATTTTGATACTTTTCATACTGGCATCATAGCTATTTGGGACAAGTTACTTGCTCTTATACTTTTGCATTTTCATCATTAAAATGTTGTCATGAACTCCCGTATTTCAATGAAGTATTAATATTTGCTATTTAAACAGTATTCTACATATTCTGTGTACAAAATATTATACTGAATATGTGTGTGGGAAATAATGAGCAAAGCAAAAAAATTAGTGAGCCAAAATAGAGACAGTCGAATTTGAAATACATTGATATTCAGCAAGTGTGAGAAACACACATGTGTTTCTACATGCACACAAACAATACATGCATAGGTACATGGCTAAGCATGATGACTGAAGGTGAACATTCAGAGTAAATTAATGTAAACTGAAAAAATGTTTCACAACACAGCGTACATATGTGTGTATGTTCTATAAGATAATAGACACTAAACATGACTGTAAAAGTTAACATTTAGAATAGAAATCTGAAATTTGTTTCAAAAAGTTATTTGCATTTACCACCTCTCACCACTAGTGTGCAGTGCAGACTTGATGATGTTCCTCTGTTTCAGAAGACGCCTTTTCATTCAAGTAATTCAGCATTTATTGGGAAACTGGGGAAGTCATGCTTCTGCGGTGGTTTCCAAAGCAGTGTTTATGGAAACATGCTTAATGCCTTCTTTCAAAGTTTTGTTTTTTTGATGACAAATCTGAAAGTGCCTCTCTAAATTGCCTAATAAATTTGTATAGATATAAGGGGGAAAACACATAAATATAGCATTACTCAGTATAAATTGTAACTATATTTGATGACCATCAGTAGAGAGAGAGATCCATACATATTGTATATGTATATATGCTTGTATATATGTGTATATATAATGTATGTATATGTGTGTATGTATATATAATATTTTTGCTGTGTAAAATGCTGTCAGGATTTTTGAGACAGAAAAAAATCTAAAAATTTTAGAAAATTTGTCCTAAGTTTTGATTGCATTTTTCAGTTAAGTGAATGTCAAAACTGAATAATGAATGGCAATGAAGGAAAACTAATTTTTTAAGAGATTTTATTTATTTTGAAAGAGTTAGAGGGAGAAAGAAAGAGATCTTCCATCCACTGCTTCACTCCCTAGATGGCTGCAATGCCAAAGGCTGACCATGCTGAAGCTAGGAGCCAGGAGCTTAATCCAGGTCTCCCATGTGGGTGACAGCTACTCAAATACTTGGTCCATCTTCTGCTTTTCCCAGGGCATTAGTAGGGAACTAGATCAGAAGTGGAGCTGTCGCCAGTGCTGTGGCATAATGGTTAAAGCTGTTGCCTGTAGTGCTGGCATCCCATATGGGCACTGGTTCAAGTCCTGGCTCCTTCACTTCCAATCCTGCTCCCTGCTAATGTGCCAGGGAAAGCAGAGAAAGATGGGTCAAGTACTCAGGCTCCTGCACCCACATGGAAGAGCCAAGAGGAGCTTGTGGCCCCTGGCTTTGGCTTAGCCCAGCTCTGGCTGTTGCAGCCATTTTGGGGAGTGAACCAGTGGATAGAAGATTCTCTCTCTCTCTCTCTCTCTCTCTCTCTCTCTCTCTGCAACTCTGCTTTAAATAAACAAATAAAAAAAAAGTGGAACTTCTGGGATATGAACTGGCACCCATATGGGATGCTGGTGTCACAGGTGACTGCCACACCTGTTACACCACAATGCTGGCCCCCAAATCGAATTTTTATTTTAGATGATGAAAAGTTATTATAAATAAGATGTTATAAATATGGTTTGAATTATTTGTATGAGATTAGTTTTAAAAATATTTTCAACTTCTCAAGGAATGTGTAATATTAATTTTTAAAAAGCAATTTGTATATATGTAAAGTTTTATAGACTATGATAGTGTTTTTAAAATGTCAAAAAACTGAACAGATTATATGTAATCATATGTTTTTTAATTCTTTCTTTTTTACCTAGAAACCTTTTATTTAAGGCATACAGACTTCATGCATTTCATAAATACAATTTTAGGGACATAGTGATTCTACCCACCCTACATACCTTTCCACCTGCACTCCCACCCTTCTTCCTCTTCCCTCTCCTATTACCATTCTTATTTTTTTACTAAGATCTATTTTCAATTAACTTTGTACACATAAGATTAACTCTATACTAAGTAAAGAGTTCAACAAATAGTATGAAAAGAAAAGTTTCTCCACAGTGGAGAAGACAAGGGCTGTTCAAAGTCATAGCATCTCAAAGTGTCAATTTCAATTCTATAGATTGCCCTTCAGGTGCTCTATCAGTTACCACAGATCATATGGTATTTGTCCTTTGGGGACTGGTTTATTTCACTAAGTATAATGTTTTCCAGTTGCATTCATTTTGTTGCAAACGACAAGATTTCATATTTTAACCATATGTAGTACTCCGTACTTTGTTTATCACATAATTTGTATATATCCCATAATTTCTTTATCCGGTCTTCAGTTGACAGACATTTGGGTTATAATGTATTATAGCACCAGAATTTTATGGTACATTTAGAATTAGAATTTCAGACTAACAAGTATAGTCATAAAATATTCAAAATCTCTGTAGTTCATTGGCCCTCAGGAAAAGGCACATCATGATGTGTCCTCCAAAGCTTCATAGCAATTCTCCTTTCTTATTCTCCTTTTCATCAAAAATACTATTGATGTGACTTTTTCCTGTAGCTCTTGCTCTTTATCCATAGGATTGTTAGAATGCAAGAATAATTCTTTGGGAGATACCTGAAAATATTAAAAGTATGCCTGGCTAAGAACTGCTGATGGAAGGATGAGCAATTGTTAGCCTAGGAAACAGATGTGCTTAATAGACTCAGATTTTTAAGATGTATTTGACAGTCTGGTGTGTGTTAGAGGGAAATCATTCTTAAATCACTGACCTTATAGAGAAAAGATAAGAATTTAATTGTAAAATTTTAAGTACTGAAAATGAAACTGAAAGAATGAGTAGTTAAGGTGTTACAGCCAGAATTCTGTTCCCATGCTGCATTTAATACTTATTCTGCTTTTCTTTTGCAAGTCTGTACATACTGATTTGAAATTACATTACAAACTCTAACTGTACTGAAATGATCATTTCTTCAAAATCTCATGGTCTATATTCCTGTGAATCCTTCTGATTACAAATAATTAGAATACCTCATTTTAACAACAGGTGATTATGATTCTTTCCATAATGGAAGATTCATGTGTGAAAATGCTGCTACAATTTTAAAATTAGTTCAAAGCTAAAAAATGAAAAGTAATTTTTCTTTAGTTTTTTTTTTTTGAAGATTATATGCTTTTACCTGGATTTTTTAAAAAATTTGACAGAGTTATAGACAGTGAGAGAGACAGAGAGAAAGGTCTTCCTTCCATTGGTTCACTCCCCAAATGGCTGCTATGGCAGGCGCTGCACTGATCCGAAGCCAGAAGCCATGTGCTTCTTCCTGGTCTCCCATGTAGGTGCAGGGACCCAAGCACTTGGGCCATCTTCCACTGCCCTCCTGGGCCACAGCAGAGAGCTGGAGTAGAAGAGGAACAACCGGGACTAGAACCCGGTGCCCATATGGGATGCCGGCGCCGCAGGTGGAGGATTAACCAAATGAGCCACAGCTCCGGCCCCATCTGGCATTTTTAATGGCTTTTCTAAGAGTCTTCTTTCTTCCTGTGATCCTAACATGACCACTGATTTATAATTTGCAGTGTTCTTTTGTAGACACACAGGTATTGTGAAACTCCTTTACTTTATTTACAGCTTATGTTGAAGGCTTATCTCAACACCTTTCTGATTCGTAGGAAACAGAACATTACGATTACTAGCTAATTGTAGGAACAATTCCATAACTACTACTTACCTTTAAAAGATGTGTCATGTAAGAGCTATTCTGCACATGTCGAGATGCAGTCCTTGAGGAAACGTATCAGACAGGTGTGTGGTGGAGTATCAGTGCAGTTGTGAGCTCAACACGAATTTGGAAGCCTTGTCTCTTATGGCTGTTCTCGTGATTTCAATAAATGATCCCATGTAAGTGACTGAGAAGGTTCATGTAAATCCTGAATTGTCTTCCTTTCCCCCTGCTATCTCCCCAGACAGAACTCACCATCTCCTTGCCACTACTGTTGATCTATTTTTACTGATGTTGTACCTAGCAGAGTGATATTTAAAAACCCTCAATTGGATCATATGACCCCTTGCTCGAAACACGTAGGACTATCC